CATGTTTTTGGACTGTGGGAGGAAGAACCCGGACAGAACCCAACCTGCATGGGGAGAACATGCAAACTCCATGCAGAAAGATCCCGGGCGTCCTAAGCGGGACATGCTGTGAGGAGACGGTGCTCGCCACTGATCTACCGTGCAGCCAAAGCCACACTCCATATATCCTAAATTACTTTGCAATTTGCATCTGTTTTAAATTGCAATTTTGAACATTATTTACAGTAATATTCTTGAACTAATTGTACATTTATGAATGTACACTTAACTTCACTTGTATGGTTTTGCCACAACACGTGCAGACAGAGAAGCAGATGTGATACAAGTTATGTCTGATGCAGCCCTGCATGATTCACACATATTGCAGTTTGCCAAGTTCAGTCAGTTTCAAAGTCACTGAAGAAAGTATTTTGTAACTTCCACAGCAAGGAAGCTATCAAAATGCTGATCTTTTTTTTTTTTTTTCAACGTTTCTGTCACAATGCTGGACACTGCTCAACAAAGAAATAAAATGTTCACTTACTTGCATCCTTTTCAGGAGACTTTCAGCTGTCGATGTGTCCTAAAAAACAGCCTTTACAGGGACTGATTAGTAACAGGAGGGCAGTTTGACTCAGGGGCCCAAGGCCCTAACACGCTATGCCATCCTTGAGAGGACTTGAATGGATGAGGACCAATTGATATTTTGGCGCTTATCGTTTCATACCACTGAAGGTCTCCCTATACTTGCATTGGTTTCCTCCCACAGTCACAGCCAACGTAGGTTGGGTTAACTGGCAACTTGACATTGCTGTAGATGTGGATGTGGGCGAAAGTGATTGTATGTGTCAGCCTTGTTTGACTGAGTTCAAGATGTTCCCCACCCAGAGTATAACCCTGAACTGAACTAGCAAAAAGATTGCTAGTTAAGATAATCCAGCAACAGCTAGGTTTACTCCACAACTTATTTAGATAAATTAAAAACTAGCTAGATGTAATTTGTAAGAAAATGATTGCACAGCCCCAAACCATGCAGACATGTCGTCATTTCTTTGCAAAATCTCTGCTGATGAGACAACATGGTCCTGGCTGTTGCCTTTGTGTGCTAATGCAGTGACAGTTAAATTCTATGCTGTGGCGTTGCGGGGTAAGGGCAGTCAAGGTAAAAAAATAAGACAGGATTTCTGCAGATGAATCAGTGTGAGCTAAGGGAGGAGATGCTGCAAATCTGTTCTTCTGGGAATACGCTCTTAAGTAGGCTTGATTGTGGCTAAAAGGGAGAGGAGACGTCTTTTGTTAAAGCAGTGATATAATGTTAAAATGCTAACTGAAGCATACCTAATGACATTTACACACTCAAATAAATATTTCTGTACTGTAATGAAGTGCTCAGTTGGACCACAACTAACGTAAAACTTTTTTGAAAATAACTTGTACTTTTTAAAAAGGAAGTGGTCTTTGTGAATCAGAGAAATCAACTGGTGAGTAGGAGGTCAAGAAACTCAGCAGGTGAGACGCGCGAGTACAAACTGCTGAGTGGATAAAGCAGTTGGGTAACATCAAGTTCAAATTTGGTAATCCTCAATGAAAACCTGTTAAACACTTGCTTGGTTCAGCACAATTTGTCTGAGACATTTCCTGTAAGAATGAGCAGCTCCCTGTAGATACATCTCTTCCCTTTTTTAAATCTATAGTATGTAAAGCAACTCACCTGAATGAATTGAATGAATTAATCCTGCTCTGAGGCCTAAACATGGCAGCTTGAAGTTCAGTTCTTACTCAACTCTATCACTGTTAGTGACGAATATACTACATTCTCAATTTTTGGAGCACAACAGTTTTGTCTTATTGTGCAGTTTAACTCATTGTAGTAGGCCCTGCAAATTTCCATCTCAAGCTGGAAGTATGAGTAATAATGACAATGTTCTGATTCTGCTGGTTGTCCACCTGCACAGAGAACGTCACCTTTACACGGATGGAACACGTGCGCGAAATTGTCATGAGTAAGGATTCTACATAGCACCACGCTATCAGAGGTCGGTCCTGAGTTACATACGTTTTTGTGACTACTGGTAGGTGTGCGGTTGTGATTTCTTCATGGATCTCTGTAACTGGAGCAGAGAAGACAACATCACATTCCATGTCGGTCAGCAGCTGGAACGATCTGACCACATGTAATCATCGGAGGTGACGGCAGGTGGGTCTGCGGCTATCATTAAGGGAAGAAACAACCGTTTTCACAGTGGAAGAGGCCATAGTTTCTAAAAGCAGACATTAGGAGCATGCTTAGAGTTTCCTTTAACATTCACGTTTGTGCACTTTAAGTTTAGTTCCCCTGGGTCATACTGTCGAGGCAGATTTCTACTGTAATATCTGTAGAATATAGCACACTTCATAAGGTAAACTATACTTTCTGATTACAGTTTTGCACTTATTTCTCAGGGGCACCACCAAATATACAATTCAGAAATTAATTACTAATATTTCAAACTGATCTTTAACAAATGATCGAATCTATTTGTATTGATCAGTCTTATAATCAGAAATCGTAAACTCTGATTACATTGACCTCCAGTTCCTAAACAAAGAAATACACAGTAGACGCAACAATAATTATACACAAAACATTTATTAACTAATAGTACAAACAATAAACAACAATGACGTAACAAACAACAGACAGTGAATGAATGCATGCAGATAAACACGGTAATTAATCCACCGTGATCGTCACTGGAAGCAGTTGGGAGATTGGTGTTCAATTTAGAACCACTTAAAAATTGAAAAACCAATTGTAATTTCTAAATTCACCCGTTCAGCAGAAAGAAGATGATACTTGCGTAGTCTTTGTAGGAGGGAGAGGAAGGTTGCTGCAGGATGTGTCATGAAAATCTGCTGGATGACTTACCGAGGTATGAAAAAAGTGTACCGATAAAAAATGACCAAGAGTCAAAGCTCACAATCACAAAGAAAATGTTTGCAAGAGTTAACTTAGGAAGCCCCAACTTTAAGTAAAAGGTAGAAAAAAGCAGCTGTGAAAAATAGTAAATAAGACCTCCTAAGAAGTCAGTAAAAAGCAGAAGAAAAAAGATAGAAAAAGTCAAAAAAAATAAAATAAAAAAGGAGGAAAAATCCTAAATTCAAAAGAAGAGCCTGCATTGCATTCAAGTGTTTTTCTTTTATACAGCATGTTCTTTAATTCAAATCACCATCTAACCAGTCATGGATGTGTTCATCTAAAGAAGTGGTCTGCACTGGGCTCCACAAGAGGTCAGAGGCCAAATACCTTTATAGCTTAGTTTGAGGGAATTTCTAAAACATATAAAATAAATGTTAGCGACTATAATTACAGATCTGAAACCACTGAACATGTGATTAAAATGATGTCAAACTATCTCGTGTTTTTCCTAAAAGTTTTTCAATGTAAGCGTGCATACAAAGGTTGAAATTTCATGATGCATGATAGTAAACTTCTATTATAACAAAGAACACAAGCATATACATTCAACAATGAGAAAAATAAGACTTATATGTATGCTTAGGATAAAGTTTTTCTGTGTCCTTTATGGCTGTGACAGAGAGAAAAAAGGAGAGTGTTTGTCTTCTTTAATACTGATGCTGATGCCTTGACATCATACTGAGTCCAGATGTTGGGATCATTACTCTGGTCACATGTAGGTGTCCAAAGTGCACACGGCCACATTGCCAGTAAATACTCACAGGCTTTTTTTTTTTTCCCCTGCAGCAATATAATCTTGCAACCCACCTGCCTGACCAGCTACATTTGGCCCTTTGTCTATTTTCTGTTCCTTAAAATGACGCTCAACTAGAAAGTTTTCCATTTTGAGGCAATTGATCAGATTTAGTATTAGTCACAGATGTTGCTTGACAAGTTTGCAGCAGAGGACTTCAAATGAGCGTTACACAGTGTTGCAGAAGAGCTGGCAGCGCTGCATTGAATCACAAGAGACTAGTTTGACAGGGATGGCAGCCAAATATAAATCTGATATGGTTTTTGATAAGGGCAGTCTTGGAACTTTATGATAAATGCGAGATGGCGCCCACAGAGGCAGACATCTTTGCGCAAACCCAACAACCACGACCTCAAGCGGGGACGTGCAGCCGAAAGCGGAAGCGTGGCGAGAAAAGAAGTGGGCTACGTGCTGAGATAAAGGCTTGAGGCCGTGGTGCAGAATAACTGTTGTTTGTGTCATCCCCCCCCCATTAACAGCATGCGCTTTAACAGTTACAGTAAGAATCAGGACTAGTTTTGAATGCTTACATTTTTGTTTTTGTTTTAGCAGTCCTGAAAATATTCCAAACCATGACTGCAAAACTAAACTACACACCAAACTGACTATTGTGTAGCATTACACCTCCGGCTTTATACAGTGGCTGTTCTGTAGCAAGTATAAACATACGCAGCGCTATCTTAACAGTTACAGCGAAGGAGAACAAAAGGCCTTCACAGTACATTCAATCGATCAGTTTCTTCTTAGTTGTAACATCACTATGTGGCTGATTTTCCCATTATTGTTCCAAAAAAGGATTTTAACAACGTAATGCCAGCACTGTTCAAACGTTCAGAACATACTGTGAAGCCATTGGCCATGCAAGTGGATCATGAACAGTGGGTCCTTACAATAGAATACCCTACAATTAAATTCTGAGTTGTTTTTTTTTTTTACTGAATTATATAGTTACCACAAGTTCAGCGGTCCCTTCCTCCGCATTCTCTATCAGTTTTTTCGTGTCAACTACATCTGGCTGTGGCTGCCTACTGCTGAAGAAGAGTGGGTTGTCAAAGGTGGCTGAACTGGCCAGGATGGGTAATCGATGACCATGCTTCTTGTAGATGAAGAAGGCAATGACTGCCCCAACTGCAATCCCAGCAATGCCCAGCACAGTTGCCAAAATGATGTGGTCCCGATGACGATCAAGTGTTGTAACTGCACAAATTGAAAGCAGATGGTGATCAGACTGAAGAATCTTTCCCCAATTTCGAATGAAATGAAGAAGATAAAGAGACGTTACTTACCAGGTAATGGTGATGGTGATGGTGGTAATACTGTCACGGAAAAATAAAGGAAATGTGATTAAATAACATGCTTTAATCAAATGTACAACTGTATACCAAAATTATAGCACACAGTAACTTGACCTGAATAGAAAAACTGCATTGGGCACGTTCATATTTGCACGGTAAGTATGACAATTACTTGTTTAACCCGTTAAGTAAGTAGTAAAGTAAGAATAAAAGTTTGCAGGTTCACGTTCATTCAGAAAACCTTTTAAAAAACATAAACATTTTTTGTAAGATTGTTCAAAAAAAAAAAAAAAAAAAGCTTTCCTTTACCTACACTTTAGCCACATTAACAATCAATAATTGTCTTTATTTGCTAAAATTACTGAAATACAGTGGGCATTTTTTTAACCCACTGACATTTAATACTTGTTGTAAAATGAGCCAATATCGAATTTGAAAAGCAGAACACCAGTTCAACTAAATTGCAATGAACAATGACATAATTAAAAATGCAACTGAACAACTGGCCCAACAAAATCCAAAGCGCCACATAAGCACTGACTTAGTCGCTGTAGTTAACTTTAGTCCAGCTCCCGAAAATAGCTGCCCAAATACTGTCACAGCAACTTTGTCAGTCCAGGAACCCTGTCAGTATTCACTGTCACCTCTAAAACAGATTGCTGATACATTTCATCACCTTAGTTTTAATGTTCTTGGCAGCATGTAATCAGAGTTCTGCTGCTTCTAAATGTTAGCATTATTGCTGTCTCAGCTTCCAGTCTGTGTTAACATCTAAAAAATATGGTTTAGCTACAAGTCATTTTACTTTAGCAAGCTGAAGATAGGCACTAGATACCTTTTTGACAAGCTGAAGCTGCAGAGTTCATCAACATGACTGCCACACTTAGTCGTTAGACCTGTAACTCCATCTCATTTAACAGGAAAAGGCTTCACCTAGCGGTGCAACCAGGTACTACAGCAAATCCACAATACATTTTCTGATACATGTCCCTCATCTTCTGCTGTATCTGTTAAAATATTCTTAATTAATTAATTCTTAATTACAAGCAACTGATTAGCAATTCATTCTTAATATCCCTTGTTTCCAATCAGTCCTACATGCTTCATAAAAGTCACGAATGACAAACAACTGAAAGACAGTCGTCCCCAAAAGGCAGTCTGCCCTTACTGTCAGTGCTGACTGAGAGACATGGGTGTTTTGCAGGTGTATGGTCTATCATACCACTTTAACTCTCTCTTGCTCAGGTACCGGAGCCTAAAACTACATCTGTGCTTGCTTTTTTTTGGTTGTTTAGGTATTGCGTTAATGCAATTTGTTATTGCTTTAACATGTATTATACATCATTTGGCGAATTGTCACATTTAATCTAAATTCTGAACTTCGTGTGCAT